TCCTTTGAACAAGCTTATTATTGTTTTATTTTATGCTGTTGAACTTAGTTTTTTTACATTGATTTTTTGTTTCTGATTTATACTTTACTTTAATGCAGTTTTTGGAGTCATATGTTATGGCATTGATTGAATTAATTTATTTTGCTCAAAATCATGTGGCCGTTGTTCAATTTTCTTTTATCTCAGCCCTTAGTCAATTTATTATTGCCTGTTATGTGAGGTTCTTAGTCAATTTATTATTGCCCATTATGTGAGGTTATTATATTATAATTTATCTTAAATATTAAACTTTGCACATTTTACTTTTGTACAATAATTTGAAATTTATTTTAAAACAAATAACTTTCACAGAATAAATTTAGGAATTCCGAGAGTGAAAATATATTTAAAAAAAATTTGAATTCATTGGATTATAATATTTTAAAATAGAAATTTTGGATAAAATTTCATTTAATTAATTTTAAATAAAATTAATAACTTAGGGTTTTATTTTCGTGTAAAATAATATATGATGAATATATATTGTATAAATTTTTATTATTCAAATATTAAAGGTCTTTTGGATATTGTATAACTTAATTTGAATTTTATTTTATTAAAAAATTTTAAGTATATATTTGAAATAATTTATCTCCTTTTTCTAATATATATTAGAGAAAATAACAGTAAAAAATGCAAGCTCTTATTATAATTTAACCCTTTTGTTAATTTATACTAGACTCATTAACTATAAAAAAAATATTTTCCAATTCTTTTGGGGTGTGAAAATAATCATGTTTACAAGATTCCTATCATTAATTTCTTCTTTTTTAATATTAATAGTGAATAAAATGTTGTCTACAATTACTTAGTATTATAACTTCCTCTCCATGGTCTACTATGATGTTTAATTTTTTGACCATGATGTTTTATGACTTTTCCATTTCCATAATATTGTCTATTACATCATTCTCTTAATTACTCCTCTACTCACGAATTTTAGATTTATATAATTTTGATTTAAATTATATTTACATTTCAAAAGTTTAATGAATTATTCACGCTTTAAAATTCCATTACCCTAATTTTTCTCGCATTTCAAATAGTAACTTCCTAACTCTCATTCCTATCTACATATCTATGTATTTAGGAAGAACAACAAGCATTTTTCTGTGGATAAATACTGCCTAATTTAGAAATATTTCAAATACCTCGATTCCATAAAGCCACGTAGGATTCTGCTTCCAAAACTAATTTTAGCTGTGAATGTAATTTTATTCCATTAATCCTTCATTCCAATAATATCCTACTCTGATGGTTATTTAAACTTCGGTTGGTAATATTTCAATCAATTCCTAACTCCACAATTCATATAGGATTTGGCTTAATTTAATTTTTAATTCTTATTTCATATATATGACTACATTTTATAATTTAATATATGAAGTTCTTTTTTAATTAATTCAAATTAACTTGAATGGATTCTATACTTTAAGTAGATTTAAATGTTAGTTGGTAACATCAGAATAAATTTGTTACTCTACAATGCAAGTTGGAGTTATTTTAATTTTTTTAATTTACATATATAAGTGCATTTTATAATCAATTAATGTCGGGATCATAGTGTTAAATTTTTATTAAATTAAATTAATTCAAATCACTTTGAATTATTGATTCTAAATTTTAGATTTTGGTTTATATGCGGCTGGTTGAATTCCAATAACTTCCTAGACTCCACGATTGATGTTTGATTCAATTTGGAGTTTTCCAAATTCATACATATTATCAGTTTTTATAAAAAAAAATTATCAATTTAATTTTATCTATTCCCTTCATTTAAAACTATAACGCATTTTTTGATGAGTTAGATGTTAACAAATATAAGGCATTTTTAGTCTTTTGAGATGTAATCATTATCTTTTTTAAAAAAATACTTCTATTGATAATGACTTTATATTTATTGTAGGGTATTTAATAGGAGTAAATATAGAAAGATAGAGTTAGTTGAAAAGTAGTTAACTACTTTATTAAAATGTAAAATTTAATTAAAAATACTTTACATATTTGAACGGAGGGAGTATAAAATTATCAATTTGGGAGTCAAATATAATTTATTAAATTAATGTATTTTATTAAAAATAATATAATACCATGATCTCCATGTTACTTGATTTAATATATACCATACCCTCCTAATAATAGTTATCCATATATTTGTGGAATTTAATTTGAGAAAGATTTTCCTAATATAAATTCGTTGTAACGACTAGGCTTTGGTGTAAATTTAAATTTTAAAAAAGTTTTATAAAAAAATTCTACCCATGTCATTTTAATATTGTTCAGAGAGAGTGCAATTATTATATCAACTTTATCTTATATAATTAATTAATTAATTAACTGTTAATAAATGCTTTTTTCTAGACGTGTATTGACATTTCACTAAAATTGGGTAGTTACATATTTATTTGATTATATTTTAAATTTTTTCCATTTTTGAGTCAATTATATATTTATTAAACGTGGTGCCTAATAGTTATTAATCTTATTAAACATAGTTTTATATACATAATTTATTTCTAATTTTATAATTTCTTTGACAAATATTTTTGACTATATAATTATATTATTTCTCATCATCAATCAGCTGCACATTTAAATAAAGTAAATTCCTCATGTTCCATTATCTCCCCACTCTCATATAGTTGTAAATAGGGGTGTTCACAAGATAGAATGGGATCAGGACACCCCTGTCCCATGTTCCATCTCAAAGAAAAGATTATGACTGAATATTTGTCTTGTGTCCTGTTCCGTCCTAAAAGTCCCATTGGAAATCGGGATGGGACTAGGATAAGATCAGGGTGTCCCATTGTACCGATAAATTGAATAATATTGAAGAAAGATATGGACAATAACATAAGTTAAAATTTTAAATCATATAATTTATTGAGTCTAAAATCAAAACAACACAAGTACATAAATTACAATAATTTAAAATTAATTATTGAATTACATTAATCAAAACTACACATTATAATAGTAATTACAAGTGAACCCTAGGCTATAAGAGCAGCAACAAACAGGTCAAACCAACACAACATCAAATCGTTATTCTTCTATTTTAGTTAAGATGTGCTAAGTTAATTACTCTTCCAAAAATAAAGCAAGAAATACTATATAAATAAAAGTTATTAAATAGATAGATATAAGAATAAATCATATTAATATAATTAATATATTATAAAGAAAGACATCGCCCTATTTAATCTATATATTAAAATTACCAATATAAAAAACTTTAGTTTTAAATAAGAATTTCATGTATTGAAATTATAATTGATATAATTAATATAAGTATAAATCATATTAATATAATTAATATATTTAATGTCTATTTTTAATTAATATATTTAATGTTTATTTTTAAAATAAAAAATAACATATATATATATATAATATTTGGGACGGGACAGAACGTCCCAATGGTAATTTCATGTTTCATTCTGTCCTAAACCCTTTTCCTGTCTCATCCCGCAAAGTCTCGTCTCAATTGTTTTTAGACTCAGACGAGATCCGTCCTGATATGATCAGGATGATACCGGGCCAATTGGCACGGGTACAAACTAAACACCCCTAATTGTAAACATGGGTGAATATGTGATCGTGTAGGTTACTAGAGATATGGATAGCAAATCTCATGTACAAAAATTGAGTGAGTACACTAATGATGACAAGAACTTATTATTCCTCAATCCTCACCATGAATCTATCATTTTTTGACATTGATGAGTTATTCGAGAAAGCTGCCTTGCTCGCCGTTGAATACTCCAGAGCATCTACCATATGGTGGTGTCCTCCCCCAAAATCTGTTGGCACTGTCATTGTGAAGAGGTGCTTAAACCAAAGTCAAAGACAGATTGGCTTCTCATCTCTTATAGCATCTAATGGAGTGCAGAGTGAGGTGGTAGAAGCAAGCAATGAACTTGACGATATTGGTGGCCTTATAGGATCTAATAGAGTGAAGAGTCAGGTGGCAGAATTAAGTGAGGAACTTGATGACATTGGTGGCCTTATAAGATCTAATACAAGCTGAGTTAAAAATTATTATAATTCTTATAAGAGGACCCATGCATTACATGGGTGAATTACTAGTTGTTTTTAATACTTGTGCTAACACGCTTAGGTGTTTCAGAAAAGATTGAATAAAAAATTAACAACATCAGTATTGCATTATATGATTATAATATACTCCTTCTAAACCACACTATTTATCATTATTAATTAATTCACGATTTATAAAAAATATTAGTTGAAATCTTATTTTCCTAAATATTTTCACATCTTTCCATTTGTGCTCTTAAATTTTCCTAGTGACATGTGTATAGTCTTTAAGATAGAGTTTTTAAAGACAAGAAATTAAAAAAAATAAATAGAAGCAAGGGTATAAATAGGGAAAACATAAAATTTACCCAACACTTTATATTTTGGACTAGGGTGCTTTTAGAAAGCAACTTATATTATAATTCGAAAGAAATATCTTATCAGTATATGCATGGGCAAGGTGAGGAGTGGGATATAGGTGTTTTGGCAACTACATTGATGAAAACAAGAATAGAATAAAAATAAAAAATAAGAACAAATAATTAATAATAATAACAATATATAATACCTCAGAAGGTGACATTTGAAGAGTAAAAGAAATGATTGGCATCATAACCCAAAAGAGGAAGCCTTTCTAAGCGAACACAAGACTTGAGAGCAGTGCACATAACATTGTTCATGGTGGTTTGAACAATTACCAAGTGTGTCAAAAATGTAAAGTTTTAAATGTAAATAAAGGATTCATGAGTTCTCTTAACTCAGTTTATCCAAAAGCGAAGATGCAAGAATGAATTGAAAAAAAATATAGTTTGATTATTGAAACTAAGTTACATTACAAGTATTGTAAAGATTACAATAGAATTGAAAAAATAACTATAACTAAATATGGAATACAAAGTAAATTTGAATAAAAGAATGGAAGTTTGTATATCATGAGCTTGCTGCTGCGATTTTCATCTATTGGCATCTATTTGTAATGCTTGTTTGAGTCTGTTGGTCCCACAGCATCCAAAGCCCATATGTCGAAATATTTGCTATACATGGCATGATCTGGCGAGATATGGGACATGCTGAGGTAATGGCCTCACGTCCAAATAAAGACCTTCCACGCTTAGTCATTTCGAGTCTTAAGGCTTTACTCTTGCCAACTCAGCACATGCTTAGCTTGGAAGCTCATCTCGAAGTGGACCAGGCCTTGTCTTAAATGGTGGCTTATTGGGCTTGACATTTTCTCTTTTGTTTCTTTGGGCTTCTATCAATCTACAGTTCATTTTAGGCCCAAACCAAAAAAAAAAAATGACATCATCTTCGTTCACCACCTCAAAGGTCCTGCGCTTCCCAAAATATTTACTCTGATCAACACTCTTCTTCCTTTATCAACATTCTTCTTCTTCCTCTGAGTCCCATATAGGGGAGGATAGGTTCCAATGTGGAATTCTCATTGATCTCAAGCTCCTCAACCTCATGAGCCAGCTTTTAAAGTGTGGTTCTTCCAACGTTCCGATTATTTATCTAGTCAACCACTGAAAAGAATCAACTATGAAAAACAAATATCTAGTCTAACTAATTCATTCAATATTTTAGAACATTGAGATGAAACTCAGACTCTTGAGAAATAGTCTAAACCCCAAACTTTTTATGACATGTAGAAACCCAGATTTCAAATTAAGAACAAAGTAAAAATTATCTGATATATTTAAAAAAAATATATCTGATATATGCACTGACCTGTCTTTTGGGAACTGATTATGCTGGTTGGCTTCACTAAGCTCCTATGAGCCATGCTCTTTCAGTATCAGCAAGTCGTGCTGCTATCTGTTTTGGGGGAAGAAAAGACAGATAAAAAGTAAAAAAAATATACAACAACAACAACAACAACAAGCCTTTATCCCACTAGGTGGGGTCGGCTACATGGATTGCAAGACGCCATTGTGCTCTATCATTTATTAAGCTTTTAGAAATATTATTAATTAAGAGATCACGTTCAACAACTTCCAAGAGTGTTCTCTTAGGCCTTCCTCTACCTCTCTTAATCGGACTCAAAGTTATATGTTCCACTCTTCTCACTGGTGCCTCCCTTGGTCTTCTTTGTACATGCCCAAACCATCTCAACCGATTTTCTACCATTTTTTCCTCAATAGGTGCCACCCTCACTTTTTCACGTATGTGCTCATTTCAAATTTTATCTTTACGTGTATGTCTGCACATCCATCGTAACATTCTCATCTCTGCTATTCCAACTTTATGCTCTTGCTGTCCCGTTAGAGCCCCGCATTCACTACTAAAAAGTAAAAAAAAAAATATAAAAGAAAAAAAAAATAAAAAGCACAATCAGGTATGTTGTGCATAGGAACTCAACCTTGTGAGAGGAGCTATAGATTCCTACCGTCTGCCCTTGCAGTGGACAGTAATAAAAAAAAAATTTAAAAGAAGAAAACCAAATATAATAATTCTCGTTATTATAGTCAATTATGATCAAGATATGGAACCCTTTTTTTTAAAAAAAAAATAAACATTTTTTGCACATTACATCAATATTTCCAACTGATTTTCCTTATTTTGTAAAGTGAAGACCTAACAAATGGCCAATGCAAGAGAGCCATCTAAAGATTACTGATGGATAATACATCTCAAAGTTATGCACTTCATGTCCTCGATTAGAGTTGCCCTCTACTTCAACTTTACAATTTACAGAACCCTGTGGACTAGGAGCATATTATAGATGCATCAGCTTTCATACATAAGATAACTAACGACCTTTTATTATATACATAAACAACACAAGCCATGAATGGAAAATGATTCAAATTTCGAACAGAAGTTAAAGTAATGATTTTTTTTTCCCATGGAAGACCAAGAGGCTATCAAGTGAAATTCAGAATTATTAGAGGCTTAATATGGTAGTAAAATAGAACTGAGAGAAGCTGAAAGTGATTTTAAGAATTTTAAGATATAATAGTTCCTGAGGAAGGAGCTGAGAATCATGTACTATATTCTGATATATATATTTTAACAAGCAAATGGTAAATCTATTTGTAGGCCTATAAGTAGCAGTAATTTACAAAAAGAACTCCATGAGAATGTTAGGAAGTTATCTAAGGCAATTAGTCCCCACTAATATACTAAAAAATTATTAAGGAAATTATTGGAAATTCAATAGCTCCCAGAAGTAGATTGACAGGAACAAGACAATCAATTAACAACACTTCCTTGCAAAAAACTTGAGAGCATCTTTGCAGTTAATTTGCAGTCATGGGATTTTCCTTAGACAATAGACATCCATGTATTAGGAATAGAAATTACCTGTTCTCTTGTCAGTAGTTGTGCAAAAAACTTTTCCTTGTGCCTGCAGGTGCATCCTCATCTTCATCAGAATTACCTGCAGACTATAGCCATGCAGACTCAGCCAAACTAGTTGCCATAGAACCTGCTCTACAGAGAAAAAAGGGACCCTTTTGAACATATTACATTAAATATTGGGTAGGAAGAGGCCAAACCTCGATAGCTGAACCTTGAACCCTGGGCAACCATAATATAAAACATTCTATGAGTGTTTTCCCCATCCTGATGTTCTTGAACTTACTAAAACAATATTGCTAGTGGCTTTGTTTCCAGACACAACACCTACTCAGACATTGATGAAGATCATAGTACCTATCATACAGCACCAGAGCATCCCATCAAACAACATATCAATATACTATAACAAAACAGAATCCTATGTTGTTGATCTGCTTGTTTAAATTCAGATCATATGCATTGCACGGGAATAATGCTAGTTAGACTAAAAAAACCAGAAGTTAGCAAACTGAAGATAATTAACATATTATGTGCAGCACCTTATAATGGTTGTAGAGTAAATAAAACAACCAGCCATTTAAAATTTCATATGCTCGCAACTAAACCAACTAAAAGAAAGGTAAAATAGATCTCAGAAAAGAGAAAGAAGAAAACCACTCATAACTAATGTAAAAATTGAAACTTTCAATTCAAGAGTTAAGAGATTTATGCGCATAATAGCAATCATATTTAAGGGGTTGAGCCATTTGTCAGCAATGATAACACAATTTGTATGTTCAACCCTGATCATCCAGGGGGGAAAAAAGCGAAAACAAGTATTAATTGGAATCCAATTGAAAACCATTTCATGTTGACAATAAGCACGTGAGAGACCAAAAATATCTGACTTCATTGCCAAATCCCAATAACAACAAATAAAGATATCAGCAATTGGCACAAGATTAGCAACACACACAATCACTTACCCTCAAAATCATTAAAAAAATAAGGGGAAAAGATTAGCATGGATACAAAAATTGTACTTTTCAAGAAGCACCATGTACAGAGCTTTACCAAAAGCAAGTTCCCAATTTTCTTCTAGATATTTTCCTTGAATCAATGTCCTTCTGCATCTTTCTAAACTGCTTCGGTGCATCGCAAGTAACAAACTCCCCCTGCATCACAAAGACATACAATATTATTTGGATAAATTTTATTTATATTTTTTAGGTGTTTGATATTATGCTCTACAAAAACAGAAGATGCAGGCATTTTTAATAATTCAATATCATATAATTGTTTATTTCAAAAATTCAGTAGCATGCCTTGGCCATTGATCAACGTTTATCACCAAATGAACCAGAATATTCCTCCTGTAACAGCAATCTTTGAGACAAACATGAGTTAGATGGTTTTCAAAACCCCCCTGCCTAAGACGTTTTTTCAGACTTGAGATTAATCAGGGGGGCTATATAATTTCACAAATATTCGAGGTGTGACCTGAGGGAATAGAATTTTCATCACCATATATAATCTCTAAAACATAGAAAATATGAGGGAAAATATCTCTACACCCTGTGCTACCCCTCCTATAAACAACTACAACTAGTGGATGTTTGAGAATAGCACACCACTATTCAACTATAACTATCCCATAAACAACTATAACTATCAATTAAACTCATAATCAACCACTATTCAACTACTAGGCCTCTACTATCCTTCATCATCCTTCAATTATCAATATTTGTCCATAATACTCACTAATTAACAACTGTTCAGCCACTAAACTTCAATTATCCTCAAAAATCCACCATTCCTAAATATACTCCACCACTGTTCAGCTAAAAAGCTTCTACTATGCTTAGTCATCCATGAACTATCAATATTTATCAACTATAACCCACTAATTAACAACTGTTCAGCAGCTAAACTTCAACTATCCTCAAAAATCCACCATTACTAAATATACTCTACCACTATTCAGCTACAAGGCTTCTACTATCCTTAATCATCAATGAACTATCAATATTTATCAAAAATACCCATTAACACTAGTATTCATTAACACTTGATTTCTTAGCCTCTATGCATCCGAATAGGGGGGTTCAAATAAAAAAAAATTTGAAATTAAGAGAGTATAATATTTTTTTTGTGAAATTATTTATAGAAAACACAATGATAATAAACTTTCTAAATCTCAACCTGATAGGGGAAAAAACTCAGAACCTCCAAAATTTGAAGCAAGAAAACATGAGTTTTAGTTGGAAGAAGATGTGGGTGTTTTTTAAGTGATAAATAAACAAGAAAATTTTGGTGTGAAATTATTTTCAAAACGTAACGACATTTTTAAAACCTCCACCTTCTGATTGGTGAAAACTGACAGGGAACCTCCAAAATTTCAACGAAAAAACCGTGAGTTTTATTTGGATGAAGGTGGAGTGTATTTATAAGTGATAAATAAATCGAAAATTAGCTATTAGTAAAATAATATTAGTTGAAATAAAATTGTGATTTGGCATTTTTACCACTTAAAAATAGAATAGTTTTAAAAGATTAGACCCCCTAAATTTAAAAATAGGCATTCATGAAGCAACTTCATATCAAACATAGGACACCTGCTGAACTAACTTATAATCGAAAGGACAAAGAAACAAAATTACTAATGCAACATTAACGGAAGACTCCAATAAGTCATCGTCACCGGCATACTGCATATCAACATTTGAGGCCTTGCAGGTATTAAAATGATGTAAAAACTAAAAAGGATAAAATATTGTAAGCATTAGCTTAAGGCCAAGTTCAAGAGATCAACAAGAAGAGCTAGCGCAATTGGTAAAACGATGCTGAAACATAAAATATAAAAGTATACCAGTAAAAGGAAATTCAGCCTCTAACTCATGGTACCATATTCAGCTGGACGTACCCGAAAGAAATTGTGAACTGTTGGACTTCCACACTCAAACACAATTCGAATATAGCTTTAAAGTTTGCGCATATTCTAGTGATCACATAAATGAATACTTGAACGCAACAGAAGGACTGATGATGGATGAGGTGAGAATCCGAAAGGCTCACTCAGCTCATCCAGAGGGACTTGTAACGGTAACGACATGGCTGTATTGGTGTCCCTGAATGTGGCAAAAACTATTATGGGCAACCCCTTTTTTTATCTCAATAAGGTAAAATGAGAATCCAAAAGGCTCACTCACAACAACCTACGGAGTACCGGAATGGTGACAAGGATATCCTGCCCCATAGCTACGACGAAGACTTTCTTCCTTTGTCTCGTTTTTTTTTTCTTTCTGTGCTGAAACAAACAAAGATTTGATTTTGTTGTAGTGTTGACCTAGTGAGACTCCAAAAGGCTTACTCACGCATGGTCAAGAGAGAATCGCAAGGGTGACATGGTCCAACACAGATTTCACGATGCCTAGCTACCTGCCCCACAGCTGCAATGAAGACTTTCTTCCTATATTGTCTCACGATTTTGTTGGCCAAGTGAGATTCCGAAAGGCTTACTCACCTTGGACCAGGAGAGAATCGCAAGGGAGACATGGTCCAGCACGGATGCATGTGCTACCTGCCCCATAGCTGCGATGAAGATTTTCTTCCCATATTGTCTCTCATTTTTTTTTTTTTCTTTAAGGCCGCGTGAGACTCCAAAAGGCTTACTCACGTTGGGCCCGGCGAGAATCGCAAAGGTGACATGGTCCAGCACAGATTTTGCGGTGCCAAGCTACCTGCCCCACAGCTGCGATGAAGATTTTCTTCCTATATTGTCTCTTCAATTTTATTTTTTTTTTTGACCGAGTGAGACTCCAAAAGGCTTACTCACGCACGGTCAAGTGAGAATTGCAAAGGTGACATGGTCCAGCACAATGTTTGCGGTGTCTAGCTACCTGCCCCACAGCTGCGATGAAGACTTTCTTCCTCTGTTGTCTCCCATTACACTAAAACAAAAACAAAATCATTTGATGGTCCAGCTTTGGCCGAGTGAGACTCCAAAAGGCTTACTCACGCAGGGCCTAGAGAGAATCGCAAGGGTGACATGGTCCAGCACAGATTTCGCGGTGCCTAGCTACCTGCCCCACAGCTGCGACGAAGATTTTCTTCCAACAGTGTCTCTCATGAATTTGACCGAGTGAGTCTCCAACCGGCTTACTCACGTAGGGCCAATCGAGAATCGTAGCGGTGACATGGTCCAGCACCAAATTCCGGCTGGCTTCGCCACATTGTCTCCTCTATGAAAATCCAAAAGATTTTGCCCAAAACAGTTTAAGCGAAACAGGAAATTTAAGCACCGCCTGCCCCAAATTACTTTCTCCCTGTAACCTTTGATTTTCTATTGACGTTCTATAATATATAAAGGATCATAAGACTCGCATCAAATGTCAAAGCCTTATTCAAACTCAAAGTCAAGCAGGCCATCCATCAGTTCAAAATATAACGCTTATATAATGTTTTTTTCCTCATAAAACGCCACAGCACTATTTTACCCGTAAGTATAATTGCACTTCTTGCTGTATTAGGATAAAAGGCCATTAAGCTAATACTTTTTTGAATGTATATTATTGAACTTGCAGTCCATTTTCTGTCTTTTGTTTTAAAAAAACGTGTGTGTATAAGTCAAACCTGCAGGGTCTCAAACCTTGATATGTTACTTATGGAGCAAGTATCTAAAATGCAAATCCTATACCATATTCTAGAAATACCTATTCAAAAAAAAAATTTTAATGGAAAGTAAAACCCTAACAAGGAAAGCACTAAATGAAAAGAAGGTTAAAAATAAATATGTATAAGTCAAGAACTCAAATCTTTATGTGTAACTTTCAAACCAGACGCCTAAAACTCAGAATGTATATATTTTAGAAATACCTAGTCAAAAAACCTTTTTTAAAGGGAAAACAAGACTCTAACAAAAAAAAAACACTAAATGAAAAGAAATGTTAAAAATGAATACGTATAAGTCAAATACTCAAACCTTAATATATAACTTATGGAGCATATGTTTAAAACAAAAGACTTATAATATATTCTAGAAATACCAATTCGAAAAAAGGACAATCTTTTTCAAAAGGAAAAAATGACCCTAAAAGAAAAACACTAAATGAAAAGAAAGGTTAAAAATGAATACATCCCATCTTGAATACAAGTTAATGAAGAGTTCCATTATCCCAAATTAAGTCATATGTAAAATGTCTGGATCATTAAATGATTTTTTCTCTTCAATACTCCTCACTAATTAATGAGAGACTAAAGACAAGAAAATAAGTTAAAACACTTGTTGGGAGCAATTCAGGAAAATAATTGTGATTTGGGGTAATTTTAAGAAGTTAACTACCATTTGACAGTTTTTGAGAACAGATGAGGTAATTAACTTTGACTTGTATTCAAAAATGGAAAGAAAGTAAATCACTTACCTTTCTTGGCGAGCACAATCCAGTTACGTGAGGACAGATTTTGGTTCAGTGACAAAGCATGATTTCCACATGGACAACTTATGCTTATGGTTATCATCATCTTTATCAGCAACGTCCAGGTTCTTCTTTATCATTATGAAATCTCTTGCTCCACAAGATCCGATGGTTTCCGTTGGATTCAAACCTGCAAAAACACACTTATCATCTTCATCAAATGTTTAAACTTAAAAGTCATGATTAATGAATAAGGCATAAAGGATCACAGCAAGCGTGTAAAATAATATGATACAATTAAATGCATTAAAATAAACATTCATACATGGTATTAACTTGTTCATAATTCATAATAGATATCAGTTTCATCGTTTTTTCTATAAAAGAAGTTGTTTATAATTCATAATACATATCAAATTTGTTTATATTAATATAATGAAAATTTTGAAGGAAAAAAATTGGACTTTAATATAAGACTTAAAGTAAGTAATTATTTTTTGGGAGACTTGTAAAAACTAGCTAAATATTTTGAAGTCTCATGAAATATATAAATATCACTAAAATCTCAACCCCTTCATATATTTTTATTTAAAAGTCACTTTGTGGGGTAATTTGGTAATTATATGTTCAAACTTATGTAGTTACATATTTTTTAACAATTTTAATTTTAATTATATAACTATCAAATTTTTTAATAAGCATAAAATTTATTAAGGGAATACATGATAAAAAAAAATATAGGCAATTTAAAATAAAAAACTAGATTCTATCAATATGCATATCTATCAGAAAATAAAAAAACAATACATGGATGAAAATTCAAAAAACATAAACTAAAAAAAAAAAACTTGAACGAATACCTTTCAACTTAGTAGGACAGTAAAGGTAAAAATCCCGATCATCAAACCCTAGAACAGGACGTCTTTTTTGACGAGCATAAAATTTGAGAGTGGTTTGGATGACATTAGAAACCAGATCATCGTCCTTCACCAAGAATCTTAAAGGCCCTGCACTTCCATGGACATTCACTGTAACCAAGATTAAATTCTTTGTCACCTTCTTCTTCCCCTTAAAGAACTTATGCTTTTGAGTGTCATCATCTTTCTCAGCAACATTTAGGTTCTTGTTTATCAGCACGAATTCTCTTTCTCCACAAGATCCTATGGTTTCCGTAGGACTTAAATCTACAAAAACACGCTCTAGAACATCATCATCATCATATGTTTAAACGTAAACATCATGATTAATCAAAAAGGCATAAAGGAGCATAGGATGCGTATAACGTAATGTAATACAATTAAATGCATTAAAATAAATATTCATGCAGGTATTTAATTTGTTTATTGGGTTTTGTATAAAAAAGTTTGTTTAATTATAATTTTATTTCAGGCTGTTTCAAAAGATATCAAAAAAATTTAAAAAAAACTTTTAAATTAACAAAAACGGATTGTATCAATTCACATATCTAATAAAAAAAATTTAAAAAAATAAAACATGGATGAAAGCATAAAGCTAAAAAAAAAAAAATTAAACGAATTACCTTCCAGCGTGGCTGGACAGTAGAGATAAAAATCCTTAGCATCAAATTTTAGAAGAGGATGCCTCTCTCGACCAGCACAAGATTCGAGCGTGGTTTGAATGACCTCAGAAACCAGATCATCATCATTGACCAAAAACCTCAAAGGCAATGCACTTCCATGGACGTTAACTGTGATCAACAGCCTCATTGCCATCTTCTTCTTATCAGACCTCTTCTTAAAGGAGGAGGAGCTCATCTTATGAATTGAGTTCTTTCCCAACATCTTGCAAAGTTGAAATCAGCTGCAAATTGAAGTCAAAATTCAGGATCAAGGCCGACAATGATAGTACCATTCCCTTTTATGGGATGTGAATACATGTGTATGCATGCGTCTGCGTATAGGCATGACTATAGATATCAAAATTAAAATATCAACTAGATTTTATGTTTAATATAGTGAATAACTAATTAATGGAGAGGAGAGAATATTTTAATGAATTCAATTTTTAAAAATGAGCAGAAGATTAAAATTGTTAATATAGATAAAATGCAAAGGAAATAAGTAAATAAAATTACTTACAAATTTGAAACCATATTTATCTATATAATGATAAAAATTACTCAAGGCCTTCCATTTCAAATCAAGAAAGGTTTTTAAAAGATATTTTGATATTGTGATTGGGAAAAAAATATATTTTAGTATTGATTCCATATTCATCTACCTTATTATAAAACATTTATAATCTTGTATTTTTATTTACTATATCATAATTTCAAAGTTATTATAATATATGTATATATATATATATATATATATAAAAGAAGTCAGACTAATGTAGCACATGTTTCAGGTTGAACGAAAAAAAGCCATGTGGCTTTTGAACTTGATGTCTATTAAAATTTAAATGATCCTATCATTAAAGTTTTAAAAATTGAACTGATCATCAAATTATTAGTGATTGGAGTTCACAGTTTAGTAGTGGAATTAGGATCAAACCAATTAACAATAAATTAGTATATTTTAAACAATATAGATTTAAAAACTAATAATTAAATTACCATATAAGCATAAAAATGTTATTTAAAATTAAAAAATTAAAAATATCAATATCAAATCCATAATGTAACAACCAAATCCATAATATAACAATCCAACATCATAAATTAAAACTCTCACTTACAGATAATAACACTTACTAAATCCGATAATCCATAAATTGTGATGACCAGAAATTATAAATAATCACTAAAAATTTAAATTTAAACAAATAAAAATTCAAATAACTAAATGAGAAATAATCAGAATCAACCACAAAGATGGAAGAATGGACTCTGTACAAGCAGACATTTGTGTAAGTGAAGGCAAGTCAAGGCAAGAATGCAGATTAAATGAAGCAAATAGGCAATTAGAAAGACGAATCTTGGGAGAAAAGGGTGACACTGTAAGAGACGAGCACGGATAGAACAGGGGAACTTTTGGGGGGAGGGGAGAGAAAGACATCGATAGAGAACACCGAGCTCGACCTTGGGAGGGAGAGAGCGAAAGACGACGATAGAGAAGGGAGAACTCAACCTTGGGGGGGAGAGAGAGAGAGAGACGACGATGGAGAAGGAAAACTCAACCTGGGGAGAGAAAGAGTCGATCGAGGTGCTGAGGAGCGGAGTCCAACAATCTCTGCAGAGTTCTGGGAGCAAGCCGATGACGGAGGTGCCGAGGTGCCTAGAGCTCTCGTGAACGTGGCCAATTGAAGAATGATGAATGAAGACTGAAACGA